ATTAATCTAGGTTGACGTTAAACAACACGTAGCAGATTAAAATTCTTTTTGAAGAAGTAATATTATTAATTTCTCCAGAAAAATGGAAAAAGTGTATCGACCATGTTCGCCAAAAAGTTGAAGTAAAAATGTGGGAGTTGGATAATATTATAGAGGTTCAGGTAGAACCACTTGTAATTTTGATTAACGAAGATAGCCTTTCAAGTCTGACTAATTTATCCGATTCAGAATAGTGCTAAGTCAAGTAAGGAAGATTGCTATAATACAGGGTACAAGTTGTCTAATCTAAATACTAGTAGAACAAGAACAATAAGGAACAAAAGTTATCAAAAATACAAAAGGTTTCTTTTTAAGATGCACAATTTTAAATCAAATACCAAATACCTCTTATATTTAAAGCTTTTTTAATGCTTTTAGTAGTTATATATTAGCTATTAAAGAATTTGCAATTATTTGGACACCCTGAACAATATAATTTTATAATATGATTGTTTTAATGCTCTGTATCACCGTAGACATATGTAATGAACTAAATATAATGCAACCATCTATTTTAAAGTCAAATACATTTATTAATTTGTATTGCAGGTTAACGCAGTTTATGTCGCTCACCTATCTTCATCCAGAAATGTCACTAAAGTCTGGGAGACCGTGTATGGCATTTATTTTATAGTTTTACTTTACATAATATTTTTTTATCGTAATAAAAAAATAATTTCACAATTACACTCTTTTATTTTACATTTTTGCAAGACTGAAAAGTAAAATACGGCCCTGCTCAATTTTAGCGTCCACCTGCTTCTGTTTACATCAGGCGTAAATTAAATTTGAATAGACTTTACCTATTTTTTTCTAATCAAACTACGATTTAAATATATTGAAACATTGCAAATTCTATATTGAAAACAAAATTATCTCATATAATAAAATTTCCCCACTTCGCACCAACCGAGCAACACTAAATTTAAGTTCGATCCTATATGTACCCTTATTCCGTATCTGGCCAAATTTCAATACTAGTTAGACGAGGAAGGCAACAGCATCCATCCTTCGGTACGAACACGGAACGTCTTGAGAGGGGATATCGTAATCATATTTTTCAATCATTTTTATGTCCTATATTACTTTGCTATTTTAATGATTACGGCTTTATATTAAGTCCAATTTTAAAAATTATTTTTTGATCTTAAGAAAAAGATTTACTACAAGTTGACATTAATCGTTCGAAAAATAATGCATGTTTGATAACGTTAATTCTCTATTAAAAGTTGTCCTTTTTTAAACAAAATTAATAAACTTTATAATTTTTTGTAGACACTTATTTTCTTTGCACATAAAAAATATATAGTATTATCTTTTAAACTGTGTCTTCTAGGATTAAAACAGAATGCCTATTTTTAATACAAATTTCCTGCTATTTTCATCGGAGCAATAATTCTTAATGTTGGTATTTAGAGACTTAAAATAACACATGTTTATCCAAAAACCGAAAGACCTACAAATTGGTATTTATAGATAAAACATGATGATTATATAGATTTAATAATTCACTACAATAATCGTATGACTGAATATTGTAAGCAATGTTATAAACGCGAACGAAACCACAGGCAAATAATTAATAATGACATAAATTGTCTATCTTGGCACCGGTGGTGTATAAATAGATTTTAGTTTTGTGTATTAAAAGTAATTTTAAAATTTTACTAGAAGTAATATCTAAAATGTATTACTTATTTATCTAAAAAAAAAAATTAAACATTTTCGTATCTCCTTGAAGAACATTGGCACGTGGATAGCCAGAAGATCGTTAACAAATCTTGAATATTTTCTTAAAAGTCTTGCAAGGCAATAAATATTATCTAAATGATATTCAAAGACAATCCACAGACAGTGTGTGACGTAAAACTAGTTAAATTATTATACATTTGATTTAGGTGAAACCTATGATCATTATACAAATCTGAACGCCTCTTTCTTAATCTACCAGTCTACTATCACGTAAGTTGGACGTCAGTTTTCATATCCTTCAAGCTTAAAAATTTAAATTCTAATAGTTAAAAGCCATGGATCAAGGTTAAATTACTGAAGAAGAACTAAATAATTAATTCTTGCAAGAGAAAGGATTATTTTATGTATTGTTCGTCATAAATTATTAAAAAAATATATACATATAAATAGGCATTAAGGAACATAACAGAAAATAACTTTTAGGATGCATCAGATTATTGAATGATTTGATGAATTAATTCAAGATTTTTTTTGTTATATCTTGCAAGCGTTCGTTATATATAGTTTGTAAAGATTTGACTGAGTATAAAAAAGTAAAGGTACCTATGCATTTCCTACGAGTTTGATATGTACGAGTAAGAAATGAGCATTCCATCCACTATACTTTTTCTATGGCAATAACACGCCAGTACCCATTTTTAATTATAACTTTTATAAGTTACTAGATGTTGGCCGCGGCTTCACACTCGTGGAGTCGTGTTTTTAATATAAAAAATGCACGTCTTTCCAAAAAAAGGAGCGATATATTTTTTAGGGTTCGTGGGTATGTATGTGATAGTATTATAGATAAAAGTTAAAAGGAGTATTCTATTATTTAAGTATATTAATCTAATTAAGAATCTCTTTGTATACCACATTTCTGGTACGACTCTTACCTGCTAATATCACCAGATTGCATGCGAAGCTCATTCTAATATAAAACTGTACGCGTGAAAAGCAGTCAGTGTTACGGATATCGACATAATAATATGTCGTTTTTATCAATTCACTCCTCATATTTTTCATACCAGGACGTAAGAAAATCCACTTATTTGTTTTTAAATATTTTTATTTATTTTTATTTATTTTTATTTATTTTTATTTATTTTTATTTATTTTTATTTATTTTTATTTATTTTTATTTATTTTTATTTATTTTTATTTATTTTTATTTATTTTTATTTATTTTTATTTATTTTTATTTTTATTTATTTTTATTTATTTTTATTTATTTTTATTTATTTTTATTTATTTTTATTTATTTTTATTTATTTTTATTTATTTTTATTTATTTTTATTTATTTTTATTTATTTTTATTTATTTTTATTTATTTTTATTTATTTTTATTTATTTTTATTTATTTTTATTTATTTTTATTTATTTTTATTTATTTTTATTTATTTTTATTTATTTTTATTTATTTTTATTTATTTTTATTTATTTTTATTTATTTTTATTTATTTTTATTTATTTTTATTTATTTTTATTTATTTTTATTTATTTTTATTTATTTTTATTTATTTTTATTTATTTTTATTTATTTTTATTTATTTTTATTTATTTTTATTTATTTTTATTTATTTTTATTTATTTTTATTTATTTTTATTTATTTTTATTTATTTTTATTTATTTTTATTTATTTTTATTTATTTTTATTTATTTTTATTTATTTTTATTTATTTTTATTTATTTTTATTTATTTTTATTTATTTTTATTTATTTTTATTTATTTTTATTTATTTTTATTTATTTTTATTTATTTTTATTTATTTTTATTTATTTTTATTTATTTTTATTTATTTTTATTTATTTTTATTTATTTTTATTTATTTTTATTTATTTTTATTTATTTTTATTTATTTTTATTTATTTTTATTTATTTTTATTTATTTTTATTTATTTTTATTTATTTTTATTTATTTTTATTTATTTTTATTTATTTTTATTTATTTTTATTTATTTTTATTTATTTTTATTTATTTTTATTTATTTTTATTTATTTTTATTTATTTTTATTTATTTTTATTTATTTTTATTTATTTTTATTTATTTTTATTTATTTTTATTTATTTTTATTTATTTTTATTTATTTTTATTTATTTTTATTTATTTTTATTTATTTTTATTTATTTTGATTTATTTTTATTTATTTTTATTTATTTTTATTTATTTTTATTTATTTTTATTTATTTTTATTTATTTTTATTTATTTTTATTTATTTTTATTTATTTTTATTTATTTTTTTTATTTATTTTTATTTATTTTTATTTATTTTTATTTATTTTTATTTATTTTTATTTATTTTTATTTATTTTTATTTATTTTTATTTATTTTTATTTATTTTTATTTATTTTTATTTATTTTTATTTATTTTTATTTATTTTTATTTATTTTTATTTATTTTTATTTATTTTTATTTATTTTTATTTATTTTTATTTATTTTTATTTATTTTTATTTATTTTTATTTATTTTTATTTATTTTTATTTATTTTTATTTATTTTTATTTATTTTTATTTATTTTTATTTATTTTTATTTATTTTTATTTATTTTTATTTATTTTTATTTATTTTTATTTATTTTTATTTATTTTTATTTATTTATTTTTTTTATTTATTTTTATTTATTTTTATTTATTTTTTATTTAAATTTATTTCGTAAAATGTATTATGGTTGTGCGCTCAAAATAATTTACAGAAGAAGCTATTGGCTATTAAGTAAGCAGGATGCAACATCATTAAAAATAAGGAAAACAATTGTGGACCTATACATATGTAAACCTTGAGAAACAGCGGACACTAGGACTAAAACCTTACATGATACAAAATTATGATAGCGATGACTCAAATTAGTGTCAATCAAGTAAAGATAAAAACTGAAAATAGCGATTTCAAAAAGTTTTTTAAGTATCAATTCGTGACAGTCAAAAGGTTTGACCTTCTAAGGACGACGGTGGTACCACGTCAGGACCAAGCGTTGTTGCTATAGTCAAGACTTTTAATTTTAGAAGATATTTAACAAGGAGTGAAAATATGAATGGCTGAAAAAGAATAATTTTGTACAGGAGAAACATCCATTTTTTGGTTTAAATCATCTTTAGAAGAGCATCTTTGGAAATGAGATGCAATTTTTTCGGGATTACAAAATAAAATTGTTTCAAATATTCTCAAACAATTTCATTATATATTTAAAATTTCATCATTAAGCTAAAGAAAATAAATTTACCGTTTTGTTTGCTTCTAAACTCATCATCATAAATATGCCAACTTTTAGCGTGAGCTTTTAGTACATGATAAACACAAACATACTCCAATTGAACTTCAGATTTAATAGCTGGGGGAAAGTATCCATAACCATATCCTCCAGTGCAAACTTGTTGAGGTTCATTGAAAGTTGCCCACAATTTAACATCGTCTCCAAATAGTCGGAAACACTCTCTAGCGAATTCAGCGTGCCAATCGACGAAAGATGGATTTATTACACCTCCCATATCAAAGAGAATCTGAGGAAGATCCCAGTGGAAAATGGTTACGAAAGGTTCTATACCGTTGTCTTTAAGTTCTTTTATTAAATTTTTATAGTAGGCTACTCCTGCTTCATTAACTTTGCCAATACCTGGAAAATACAATATTTGAGAAGGTTTGAAAAGGTTTTTATAAAAATATATATTTTTCTACGATCACTATTCAAAGTAGGCTTTTGTACATTCAAATCTAACAGGAAAGTAGACGTTTTTCACGATTTGTCATAATTTGTCATTTTTGGCATTCTAGCGCCCCAAAGTTACTTTAACCTTTACTTATTTTCATTTGCAGCCAATAAATATTTTAGTAAACTTTAAATTTGTTAAGATCGCGCAGTATTTTTTTATTTTAACAAAGAGCTATTATGGATACAGATAATGTCTTTTTATTTAATTTAAGTGAGATATTTTTTATATGAACAATCAGCAACTAGGATAAACAGTATATAATATGTTATTGCTTTACCATTAGGTAGAATTCTTGTCCATGATAATGAAAATCTGTAATGTGATACGCCTAGTGTTTTCAGAATAGCTACATCTTCCTTAATTTTGTGGTAAGAATCACATGCAATGTCAGCATTAGATAAGTCTTCTATAAACGAAGCATTGTTGTGGATAGTCGTATCCCAGAGACTAGGAGATTTTCCATCTTCATTCCAAGCACCTAAAAATTAAAATACATAAATTTTAAATATCTAAAAATAAATTTAATACTTTTTGACATAATTCTCTGCTACATCTAATATTTCAAAACTAATGAAAGTTAACTCATAGTAATTAATAATTAATAGTTTATTGTCTATTATTGTATTACGTTCAAAAATCAGGTCTTTCTTAAGGAAAGGATGCATCCTATTTTACGTGTTACGCCATTTCATCTTCAGACTCGCATAACCTACAGGTTGTATTGTCTTAATAGATATCCATGTAGAAGTTTGCATAGCTTGGATTAGTCTGACTCTAACTCCTTAAAGGTTTTGGTGTATTCTGGTTGGATTAGTCTGACTCCTCCTTAAAGGTTTTGGTGTATTCTGGTTGGATATAGGATTTTTGTAATTTGGTTTATATTCAATATATTTTCATTTGTATGTTGTTATTATATTCCTAACTGTAGAGTAGTTATAGAAAGCATAAAAATACATACATAATTAAGCGTATTTAATGACAGTCAAACTAAAAAACCAATTGTCTGTTTTATCAGGTCTGATGAACAGCAGAAAATCACCATCAATAAGTTAGGAGAAGTAAATCCGCCAAAATAAATAAATGCGGGCTCTGAGATTGACAGGCACGAATTAAAATCTCAATTTTGGAGAACATTTTATATGAGCCTTAATAATGACAGTCACAATACAATAGCATATGCAGATGACCTGGTCATTTTGCAAACAGGGAATTTTGAGAACGTACTCTGAGAAAGAACGTAACTAGCTGTTAAAATTATAAAACAGTGATTCAAGAACCATTCGCTGTCTATCAATGCCAAGAAGACAGAAATGGTCCTTTCCACAAGGAAAAGAATGAAAATGGAATTAAAACCTTCAGATCTCCAAAACAAAAAACTAAACTTACAACGGGGGTGAAGTACCTAGGTCTCATCTTTAACAGAAAGTTAACATGGAATGCCGCCGAACCGTAGGGCGCACCTGGGGTTTTTCTCCCCAGAGTCGTCACATGGACATACGGTGCAGTTGTCTGGGTATCAAAAACATAAAAATTGACAGTTATTCGCAAACTAGAAGAAATTCAAAGAACAGCATGTCTTAACATAACAGGAGCTATGAAAATTACACCGATCAGAGCAATCGAAGTCAGTCTTAGTCTCACTCCTCTTGATATTTACATCAATGAGGTTGCTCTGATGACAATGACACGCCTCCGCACGGTTGAAATAAAATTGGATAAGCTCTCACTGCTTTAAACGAACATGGAGTTCATCTCACCGGGATATATCTTCCATAAGCTATATAAAGTTATGATAGAACAAATAGATGGGCCTAAAGTGGCATGTACGATTCATATCTACACCGACGCGCGGTTCTAAAATAAAACAAGGCGCTCAGGATGTAAAATATACTCCAGATCCTTAAACCAAAACATAAAATGGACTGTGAGCAATAGTGCCAGTGTAGTCTAGACCGACATCACGGGGATTCTCATAATAGCAAAATAAACCACTATAAACAATATCACTGAAAGAAACATGTTCATGTATACAGATAGCAGGCAATCACTAGTCACCCTAAATAAACCACGAATTTACTCAGGGTTAGTACTAGAATGCCACGAATCTTTGGCTGAAGTATCCAACAATGTGGTCACCTTCAGATGGATCAAAGGTCACGCCATATCGAAAGGTGATTCACTAGCCAAGAAGGCAGCCAACCAAATACTTTTTGGACCTTGCCCTCTATTGGACTGACAACATCGGTAGTGACAGACCTAATTAAACAATATTACCTTGTGAAATTCAGAGGAAGATAAGATGAAACAAGAAACTGCAGAGTTGCCAGGGAGCTTTTAAGTTATCCTGACAACCCTTCAGCAAACAAATACTTGACTATGACTAGACCGAATCTGCGCCTGATTTCAGGCATTTCGACTGGTCATTGCCAAGTACGGAAGATGAGACTATCAAGCATATCCTCTACGATTACCCGATTTTCTTATTTATTGGAATATTTGTGTTCGGCGAGAATTGGCTAACACCGTCAGATATAAGAGAAACACCTCTTGGTAACATTGTCAACTACATTAAATCTGTGGGCTGGCTCTCGAGCTAGAAGGTGCCTACCATCTTAGGAGGATGCAAAATGGACCTAGTGAGGCCTAAGATGAGACAGATGAGACGTAAAGGAAGTGGATTTAATTTTGAATAGTTTTTATTTTTGTATATTTTATTTTGGTATTTGGGCTCATAACCCTTTTTAGTATATTAACAAATAATATAAAGCAATTTTTTTAATAGATTAATAGAGTGAGAATAAAAAAAAACCTTTGCACTTTGAATGCTAAATCCCAGTTACTAATTTCTAATACAAAAATACATTGCTCACAAAAAATTAAATAATATTTTTTTCTACGTTCATGCAAAAAAAAAACTTTATTGAACTATATTTAGTGAAAAAACTGATTCTTTATTGACCTAGAGCAATAAAAAATGTATTGCACTCATCTGTCATTTTACTACAGCGTTTTATGATCATGACAAACATAAATATTCAAATCAATGCCAAATATTTAGTCCATTTTCATTTTCTGTGTTACGTTTTAAAAACAATTGCATATTTTATACTATTTTCAATCATTTAATAAATAAATTAATAAAAAATAAATTAATAAAAAAATGTATTTTATTAAAAATGTCATCACAAATTATGAACACAAACGTAAATAAATGCCTCAAACAAAGGTACACGATCACGGCTACTATGATTTGGATAATACAACTGCAGTTCTATAAAACATTCTTTGGTTTTTGCATGAATGTAGAAAAAATATTGTATGCAACTCGTGCAAAAAGTGTTTATTGCACCCGACGTGTTGTCAAACTCGGCTGACGGCCTCGTTGGACAATTTCACGTCGCGTGCAATAAACACTTACTTTTTGCACTTGTTGCATAAATAACTATTATTTCAAAGAAAATTGTATTCTTGTTTCTCGTCATTATTAACACATTGCTCGTGCACCTATCGGCAACATTTTATAGAGATCTGATCCACTTTTCGAAAATAGACTATTACAAAACATAGATTTGACATCTACATCAGTGGCATCCATGTCAGAATCGTCAACACATACAGAATCAACGATGGAATCGCCAGATGAATCTCCGACCAAAATGTGCCTATTTTTTGTTATTTTTAGTTTTTTTTTATTGTGACTTTAGTTATACTCTTTGTTCAGTTTCATTAATAAGTGAATAAAAATGAATGAATGGATTTTTTTTTATTATTATTCTTCTACACCTTACTACAGTTAGAAATCAGTTAAAACACATTCGAAGTTGATGAATTTTCAAAAATGTAATATTAGATAAGCAGGGGTCTACCCAAAATCGCAAATGGTCTACGAGACAAAAATGTTTGGGGACCTTCGCAATGTCTTAATAATCTAACAATGTATCTTCTTGAAATAATATATAATATAAATCTTCTATAAAGCTTAATATTTTCTTTAATACAAAATAGTATACATATATTGTTTTACAATTAATGAACATTGTCTTTTACCAAATCCAATTTATAAAACCTAAAAAATAATAATGACGATTGATTTTGGTCCTTATGTCCATCATCAGGTATTAAAACTAAATTAAATTACTAAATTTAAAAAATATAGTCTCATCATGTACAAGTTGTACAACATATGGTGAATTATAAGGTGTGGTTCAAGAATGTGGTAGACTACGTCATAGGTAATGGAGAGTTCAAATTAAAATCATGAATTTTGAAAAAGTTTACACAACCAACTATAGTAGCAACATTTCAATAAAGAAAGAGATACTTTGCCAAAGAATGTAAAAAATATGAAAGCTATCAATCAGTTTTCACATTGGAACTTTCCACCATATTCTTAAACTACACCATGTTCAGACAATGTTTTCTTAAGCTTAGTATTTTAATGTAGTTTTAATGCCTGATGATGGTCATAAGGACCAAAACTAGTCACCATTATTATTCTTGAAATTTAATAAGTTCGATGTGATAATTTTCTGTTCTTCTTTACTGAATATACGACAACAGAGAAATTAATAATCTTTTTATTATCTTATATGTTTAAAAAGCGTATTATATTTTTTATATTACCTTCAACTTGGTATGCAGAAGTAGCAGCTGCGAATATAAAGTCAGAGGGAAATCTATGGTTGTTGATGCTTTCCTCGCTAAAGCTGTAAATACGAAATAAAATAAAATATAATTTAAATTCTAATGGCTTGAGGGTAGTTATAGGTACTAATAAATTAAACAACACTATCAGATTTTTGTGAAATTGAAAAAGCAAAAAGAACTCAACGGATATTGATACACTTAAATAAATTATTTACCAACAACCAACAAGGAAAAACAATAAAAAATATCTCATAATGTTCACTTCTCTCAATTAGAAATAACAATTTTAAACTAGGTATATATTTTAATTTATATATAAGATTTTTACTTGTTTTTCTTTTTTTTATCAGATTAAAATTAGAAGATTATTGTATATGTAATTATCCCTTTTATCATAAGTAAAGTCCAACGTCAAGTCAGTTAACCTTTTGATTGATTGATTGATTGATTAATTAATTAATACAGATGAAACAGGGTGATAGTGAACTAATACATTATTTGTTTATACCAAAAATAAACAGCAGATAGGTCGAGAGATGTGCAATACGTTTTACAACTATTCATAATCAATTGTTGTTGTTAAACATTCTAACTAGGCCTTAGAGGCACTCACAAATTTATTATTTGATAGATGTTACCGTTTAAAAACGTTACCGGTTGTTTCGATCAATTTAAAAATTATTTTCCAATAAACGATAGGTTATAGCAATTTATAGCCACAATACTATTTTTGTGTTAAAGTAGATCCATAGAGAGCAATGTAATTTACAAAGGCCTTCTTTCAACATACAAATAAATGACAACTTTATAATTAAAATAAAAAACAACAAAATACTTCGGTATCATAATTGATCAAAATTTGAAATGGTTGATCACATTATGTCATTAAAATCCCAAGGTAAGAAGATTCATTTTTAAATTTTATGAATTAAGGAAATTTATGACCAGAAGTAATTATTCAAGAAAATCAAAACCGTAAGTCAATTAGAACTTTCGTTATTGTGTCGGCAAACATACACACAGACGACCAGACAAAAAATTTTTTTTTACATTCTCGTACTCAGAATGATCGAAAACATAAAAAAGTTTTAAAAAATGGGGGTAAGAAAATTTTTTCGTCTGCACCCCATAGGAAGGGCCTCAGTAAAATGAAAAACACAACAAAATACCTCGGTATCATAATTGAACAAAATTGAAATGGGTTGATCACATTACGTCATTAAAATCCGAAGGTAAGAGGATTCATTTTTAAATTTTATGAATTGAGGAAATTTATGACTAGGAGTTTACTAATTATTATTTACAATTCGCTGGTTGAATATGTAATCCAAAACTGTATAATTAAAATTATCTACAAAAAATCAGCATTATATCCGACCTCTCTTTTATATAATAAAAAATTGCTTTGTATAAAAACATTTTATTATCTGTCTTGCTGTACCTTTATTTATGGAAAGCCTGTATTTAGATACACTACAAATTATTTGCTTTACAGGCACAGCTAAGAATTATTCTGATTTTTGCCAAATAAAATAGCCGTTAATTATTATATGGGGTAGCGACAGAGAGCCAGTAAATCTGATGAAGGTGTTTTTGTGGCTAGGAATGAAATAGTACGCTTAAGTTAGCATCACCATAAAAAAGTCATTATTAAGATACTGCTTATATATTTTTCATAAATTGGCAGGCTTGGCGACTAATTTCGTATAAAAATAGCCTCCAAAATGGCTATGGTTGCAAGTATGAAGGTCGCAACCCGCCTTAGAAATTTCACCTTCACTATCAACAGCTGTTGTTTGACAGGTCGTTAGAGAATGTTTGCAATATATGAAATGTTAAGAATGCGGATTTTAAGAAAATTGATATTAAAGTAATTTAGAAGTAATTATTCAAGAAAATCAAAACCGTAAATCAATCAGAACTTTCGTTCTAGAGTTATCGTGCCGGCATATATACACACAGACGACCAGACGAAATTTTTTTTTGCATTTTCGGACTCAGAATGATCGGAAACATGAAAAAAGTTTTAAAAAATGAGGGTAAGAAAATTTTTTCGTCTGCACGAATGTAATACTGAAGCCCCATAGGAAGGGCCTCAGTAATTGTCAAAGTAAGCGATTAAGCATAATATAGCTCATCTTGCCTCAAATGATTTGTTATAGTTAGGAATAGGAATACCAAAATCAACCCTTAACAAAATGAATTTAAAAGCTGCACATATTCATAAAAATTCATTGATTTAAAATTCTAAGAAAAAATATTTTTTTGGTTATTTTATAGGTAAATGTTCTTTCGATTTTTACTAAATTTTGTAAACTATAACTTTCTGTGACCTGCATGCTCTTATCTAAATTTATTTTTAGCTAATAATACAAATAAAAAGAAAGAGAAAATCAATCCAGTTATGGCTAAAGAGGAGTGACCGAATGCGCTAAAATGAAAATAATAACTATTTTTTGCATTCTTTATAATCTGCAAGGTTATTCTGCTAATTTTAATAACCAATGATTCTGGATAGTCAACATCCTCTGTGCATGATGATATCCATTTTTAAATTATTTTAAATTATTATAGACAGGTTATAGAATTCGCAGAATAAAAATGAACGTCTTATTTATGGCTTATTTAGGGCTAACCAGACCAATATAAACCATTAATAAGACATTTTAAATACGTCTTTTTTAAGGCTTCACAAAACCATTATAAGCTATCAATAAGTCGCAATATAGACGTCTTATTTATGGCTTATTTTAAGCTCTACAGACCAATATAAGTCATTAATAAGACGTCTCAAAGACGTCTCTTTTTGTAACATTAGACGTCTTCTAACACGTCTTAAAGACGTCTGATATGTCTTATGCAAGGCGTCTTAAAGACGTCTTTTAAGACAATTTTGGGCTATCTGAGATATCTGCTCTTTTTGATAATTTAATTCGTAGAAGGCAGAAAAGCTTCTGCCCTTCCCAAACCACATATAAACAGAGTATTTATTGTATCAGAAAGAGAACGACTAAAAAAACTTAAAATTATCAACCCGGGGTTGTCGGGTTTTAGTACATACAGATTATCTGTGACTTTGTGTAAAACTTTCTTTTTAATTTTGAGGTTATCGTATTGCTTTTTGGTATATGTGTGGAAAATAGTTAAAAAGCCTTCAATGGCCCATCGATTATATTATTAAAGATGAATTATTGTATTAAATGCAGATTTTCTATTTTTGTTCGAGAAATCAACAAATAATTATTATTTTAATGAGGTGTGTCACAAACTATACAAATACAAAAATATACATTCTTAAATGTGTCAATACAAGTAAGGAAATGTAATGACTAAAAATAAACAGTACTAAATAAATACAAGTATATCTATTAGGTATTGAACGCATATTATTTTCTGGCTGTCCTTCATTCATCTTTAATACATTTTACTATGTCTTATCATGTAGAAGTCGTATTTAATAACCTTCCAATCGGTCAAATATTAAGCAAGATCGAGTACAGCAATTTAAGAGAATAGTATTTTTTTATCTTATGAATCTTATTTCAGAACTAAAAATATAATAAACAGTTACATACTCTGATTACCTAGAATAGCTTAGAGGATTCAATAGATAAGACTTTCTTAACAATGTAGTTTTCAACTTTATCCCAGTAGCTATACTTATTAATAATTTCTTAGATTTATTCTTTGTTTACCCATTGTTCAGTGCAGTTCAGAAGATTCAACATTAATAAAAGATTTAAAATTATGTTTCATTATTTATTTAATATTAGCGAATAAGAGTGATATTTGATCCACTCTTTTCTATTTGTTTTATTGTTGTGAACACATTTTTTTGAGAGCTCAACAAAATCGAAATGCGTAAAAAGAAATCACATTTTTGTAAGCTATTCAGAAATGCGTGAAATAAATTTAATGAAATTTGCAACAATACTGTAACGGGTTTTCTCGCCACAGAGAAAACGATTCCTTACGAATGACGCTGGTTACGGGCGGTTCTCGAGCGCCAGATTTTTGGTGATGGTTTACTCCACGAACTTTCGAAACGGCGTCGAAAGTACTCGGGTAGCTACAGATGGAGATGAAAAATTCCAGGGGTCAAAGATCACTTAGACACAGGTAATAGTAGGCCACAAGTAACGGGCTTTATTCGTTGCTTGGGCTGGTACAGAATTAATCACTAGCTGCAATATAAGGGGGAAATAAATTTAGGAATTAACAACCAGTAATACGGCCAGTTAACATTGACACATATATTGTTTTAAAATATTTACAAACGAAAAGGAATAAATTAATGTATTTCAACGCCCACCCTCACGGTAATATGTACAAACCCTGAACAAAAATAAACAAACAAAACGGACGGAAATGACTTTCGAGTAGTCTCAATCAGACGTAAAGAAAAAAATGAAATCAATACTTATAATTATCACGGTCGCAGTAAAAGGTTATTACAATCAAATGTAATTGAATGCTTCAGTAAAGCAAAATATCAAATGCAATTGTAGAGAATGCGAGGAGACAGGTTCGGGACAATACTAATTCCAGGGCTGAAACCGGGACCCTATAAGAGGTTTACTCACTAGTGGTTGGAAAGTAAAACCAACTAACAACCGGGATAGTACATTATCTCTGAGTGAACCGATCGTAATCACAAGCCGCTTCAAACTGGGAAATGATACTATTTAATGTCAATTAAATAACGGAGTTTTACATAAAATAAATTTATTAACCGGGATAGCACACTATCTCTGAATGAGGCGATCGTAATCACGAGCCGCTTCAGACAGGGGAATGATACTATTTGAGTTCACTTACAATAACGGAGACTAACGCAAATGAGGGTTTCAGACGGAAAATAAACTAATAACCGGGATAGCACATTATCTCTGAATGAGACGATCGTAATCACGAACCGCTTCAGACAGGGGAATGATAGTATTTTAGTTCTGTTGAAATAACGGAGACTTAACGCAAATCAATTTTTAGATATAGAATGAACTAATAGCCGGGATAACACCTTATCTCTGGATGAAGCGATCGTAATCACGAGCCGCTTCAAACTGGGAATGATGCCATTTAAATTCTCTTAAAATTTGCAGTTCGGAGGATAAAACAAAATAAAATGCCTCGTCGCAATTCTACAAATATAACCAATCAAAACATTAGACAATTCCCAAACAGTTCCAATCAATTATTTATTGGATAATGTTTTTAATAAACTGTGTTATTTGTTCACGGAAATTTCCTGCAGTAGGAAAAATTAACTGTAAAACTATAT